GGCCCAATCAGGCCCCCACTCGGGCCCAATCAGGCCCCCACTCGGGCCCAATCAGGCCCCCACTCGGGCCCAATCAGGCCCCAACTCGGCCCAATATGGCCCCCACTCACACCCGCTCAGGCCCCCACCCAGGCATAATCAGGCCCCCACTTGGGCCCCCATTCAGGCCCCACTCACACCCCTTAGGCCCCCACACTCAGGCCCCACTCACACATAGGTAGTGAAGCTAAGTGGCTAAACGCTAGGCTCTGGGGGGGGCAGGGCTGTGAGGAGCTAGCTGTGAGGGGCCAGAAGATGGATTCCTCCTTCATTTATGGCAAAACTGACCAGGACCATTTTTCAGCGGTAAAAGAATACCTTTATTGTCCTTGTCAAAAGAAAAAAGATGAAAAGTTTGGCTTTTGGGTGTGAATTCAAAGTAAAAATAATAACAAAGGGCTCAAACTGCTGGTAAAAGTGCCGTTATTTAACACGCAAAACCCAAATGGACCAGAGTTCACTGATGTAACTGAAGCTTTTATTTCATCTGGTGGTTCTTTTTCTTTTCTTTTTTTGGGCTGTTCTGGTTGATCTGAATTTATGCTGCATTTTGTTTGCCTCCATCTCCTCTGAACGACGGAGTAAATGTCGTTAGCGGACGGTTTTTAGTGGTGTTTTTTCTATTTGACACTGAAATGCTTCGTGGAAAGCCAAAGAAACGGGCAAATGAAAACATTTTTCTCCAATTCTGATCTTTTTCCCTTACTCTAAGAGCCGTAAAATGCCAAAAGCAATCAAATGTGGGGTCTCTTTTTGGTTTTGTTTATGTAGTAATGCGTTCTGCCACTAGAGGGAGTAACACCACACTGGCCCTGACGCGTGTTTAAGATGGTTCTGGGCCACAAATATGCTGGAAACCAAAGAGGCTACTTGTCATTTCGAGCTGTTGGTTTAAATTACAGCACGATGACGTCTGAAGCCCGCTGGGTCCCGTAAAAGTCCTTTATTTCTTTTTGTCAGGTGCCTTTAATGGCCTATATTTACCCCACAAAAGTGTATTTTTGGTCTTTTCTTTTGTAAACATCAAGGCCCAGATGCTGAGTTGTAGCTGAAAATGGATTTTAAACACTGTTATTAAACAGAACACCTTTTTTATTGGTGTTTTTCCCTTTTAATGTCAATCAATTCCTCCCTGAGCTCGACTTCAAACCGCCATTACTCCTCTGTGAATGGAGGAGGGG